GGTAGTGAAGTTGTCTCTCTTCTTATAAACTGGGAATGATCTACTCTGTGCACCAGGCTGTTGAGACTATTTCCAAAAATCCATAAACCAGCTAATATACATCAGTTACCCTTGTCAATAATTCATCGGTACGATTCCTAAATATCTCAAGAGTCAAACCATCAAGTTATGCTGCTTTGCTTTATTTTACATTAGGGAAAGCATTTGTAACCATAGCTACGGTTAGAGGACTGACGACTCCACTCTATTCAGATGAGTCAGACGGCGGGTTAACTTGAGAGCCCTTGAATCGCTTAACAAAATGTCATACCTAACATTTCAACAGTCTCTCATGAGGAGTTATTAAACTTCCGGAGATCATTTCTCTTACCACAGGCTAATTACAATCTGTTTTTCAAGTCAGACTTATTTTTGGATGCCTTTTCAATTTCTCTCGCTTTTGCCATCCAAAAATACTCGAAGTTGCTGCGAAGACTTCTCATCCCATTTGAGCAGCTGCCGATACCCTAGATATTCAGAACCCACGAAAATCAGCTTCGCTGCGTTTATCAGTTCGGATAGAAGCGACAAAAATCCAGTCATTTATTAAGCATTAGTTTCAAGTTATCGATAGTCTCCACTACTGTTTCTACAGCAAACTGTATATGATCCTACAGTTACCGAGGTTGGGTTTTCATTATTTCGGTCCTGTAGCTGGTTGTTTCCCATGTTTTTTTGACTATGCACGGACTAATATGTGATACAGGTCTCCAGAAGTGTTCCAGAAGAAGACGCAATTTTCCACCGACAACTTATAGATACATGACCTATTTGGCGTTTATTTCTCGCGGTTACCAGATAAGGCAGTGTCTGCCTTTTAAGTTTGAAATTAGTGCTAATCAGGGATAGATGACCACCAACCACCGCTGTCGGTCCATCGGCATAGGACTCTACTGATGTTTCCACCATCGATATACTTTTCTAAATGGCTCACAACCTCCTCCCCCTACTTAGGCATTTAGATCACCCGCTAAACTGATTATATCTGAACTTTTGGCTAATTAGAAGCAACACTTGAACAGCTTTTGATAAAACTCATTCCTTATCGTTTTTTACTTAATTCAATTTAGACTTTCTTATTGATTGATTGGACCGAAGGTGGCCTACTTAAAATTTGGGTTACTGAAAACCTCAATCGGTATATTGCAAATAACTTCTCTCATTCGGTTTGTTTAAATCTAGTAAAATATGACCTCTAATAGTATTATTTACTCTCACGAATATTTGAAAAATTTACAACCTGATGATTCGAAAGTTTCTACTAAATATGAGAATAAGCGTGCGTTGGTAGCACAGCGGTCAGGACGCTCGCTGACCATGCATATGGTCTGGGGTTCGATCCCCGGCAACGCGGACGCACTCCTTCACCACGCTAAGCCAGAAATAAAGCTGGTAAAGTGGAAAGGTTGAGCATGAGGCAGGCTAGCAATCCCATCCTGTAAAAATAAGCACCACAGTGATACAGAAACTTCAAGCTGACTCTAACTTGAAGTGCCCTATGTTCCACTGGGAACGTAAAGAAATAAAACAAATGAGGAAAAGCATTATCTTCGATGGTAACTTATCCCATCCCATGAGATGACCGTTCCTCAGTGGTGTCCCTCGTTCATAAAATGTACTCCTCAAATTTCTATAATTGTCATTCAATCAAAAGTCGTAAATTTCTTGCACCGAAGTGCAGCAGTTCAAGTTGCCACGTTCCAAATAGCACACAAAGGTAGACAAGAAAACGGGTGAAGAGAATCAATAGAGTTGTGACAAGTATAAGAGTGAAACAGAATGAGTAATGGTAGAAAGGAATATGAAAGATTACACAAGAGACTGAATACATCTGCGTAAGCCATTGACAACGATTTTGAGCCATGTCACCTATTGTCTCCAGCCATTGATTCTTAGAGTTCCGAGGGCCCCAACCCGGAAGCCTGCATCTCCCTATCTGACTCAGTTTCACTGTCAAGGATTTCATGGATTGATGCCATGTTTTTGTTTGGCCACCACTTACTCTTTTCCAACCTGCAGCTATATCAGCTAGTAATGCCCGTCCGTCGGGGGAGACGATGGTTAGGCATGCACAGCACGTGACCAAGCCATCTCAATCTATGTAACTTTATAGCCTCTTCGATTGATTTTCCCTCTTTGCCCAACACTATATGCCTAACGTCAACATTACTTATCTTATTATACCACCTAACGTGAGAAAGAGATCGTAGACATCTATGATAAAAAACAGTCAACCTTTTCATGTCTTCAACTCGTATTGGCCATGTTTCAGAGCCATAGAGAAGGACGGAGCGAACTGATGAGCAGTACACACGTCCCTTGGTTGATAGCCGGATGTCACGCCTACGCCAGAGATGGTGTAAGTTAGCGAAAGCAGCCCGAGCTTTCTGGATCCGTGCTGAGATTTCGTCGCCAATCAGTCCGTTGGTGCTGATACAACTTCCCAAATAGGTGAATTGGTCAACACGTTCTATCACTTCACTCCTAAATTTCTTGAAGGAGAGGAAGAAAAGATATCATGGCGGATTGGTTTGCAGCGTTTCAGGTCAGACAGACCTGTGTTATACGACATATTGTCAGTTAATCTTTCATTTGAAGACACCTGGACGAAGATACAATATCAGGCATTGAACTCCGCTCAAAATTCTGTACGTAAAATAGACATTGTTCAGAATAAAGCTATTACTACTAGAATAAATGAATATGTGCTCCTTTTGCAAATGCTTCAATGATGTCTGAGTATTCAACTTGAAATAAATTGATGTGGATAGTAACTAGCAGTGGAATCCAGGACAACACGCATTTCGTCTTATTTGGGACTCGTTAGCTAACTGGATGGACCTAAGTTCCCCAGTGAGGTTGAAACCCAGCACCCATAGTTTCAAACGCCAAAGCATCTGCATAAGCAGTCGACATGTCAACCTGAAGCTGAGCACTTCGGTCTAATCAATCAGCGGGAAGATTCGAATTGAATTATGTAGTAACTGATACCCGTTAGTGAGACAAGAAAGAGGTGGCTCTCATGGTCTAATAAATAACACTTTGGCATCTGAAATTACGGGTACTGGGTTCGAGCCTCAATGGGAACACCATCACTCACTGGGGAGTGCCAAGATATCTAGATAACGAGTCTCAAATACGACGAAATGCGCATCCTTGTGGATTCCACTGCTAGTCACCATCCACCAACTTATTCTTCATCTTGTTATTCAAACTGCAATCGGTTATAGTGCAGTAAGGGGAGACATCACGATCTTGCTTTGTTCCCTACAGATACAGACCTCCAGTCGAACGAGTCACAAACGATTATTCACTGGGATTCGATCGCGTAGGATAAAAATTACCAATCATTAAAAGAGCAGGTCACAAAACATAAAGGTCGAATACCAGGTCCACAAAACGAAACACTTGGAAAGGGACCTTCCGAGGACGACTAATCACAGCCATAGTCAGCAAAAGAAACAGTCATGTCATTCATCCCACTTATAGTGATCAAAGCGCAGATTTTGTTGTCTAGTGAAGAACAATGAAAGCTTCGCAAGTTAATTCACCACCCACCACCCTGCCAAGCTCAGAGACCAAAAACACACCAGAAAACGGCGCAAAGTAGAGCTACAAATCCCCTTCTCCATTAGCTCACAACTCAATTGGTGGGCTTTTTTTCCTGTGAAATTAATATTATGATTATTATTGCATATATATTTGGAGAAACATTGAAAAATTCAATATCTAGGCTTTTTGATCAGAAATAGTGAGTGGTGTGGTGTGGAGAGCGGGAGGGGGTGGGTTAGAGGAGGAGGAGGAGGAGAATAAACAGAAGGAACGCGCGCGAAGAGGGAAAAATAAAATTACAATACACAGAGATATAAATCTAAATGGGTAGTATGTATGTATGGGCGTGTGTGAGTGTACGTGTGCGTTTCAGTCTGCTGTATGTATAGAACGACGATGCAGACAACGACGTAGACGACGATAGAGGAGTGAAACCCTCAAGGAGGTTGAGTATTACACACTGACGCAAACACACACACACATACACACGTTTGAGAGTATACTACACACAGGAAAGAAGAAATTATCAGAACACGAACAAAGACAAAATCAAAAAATCATAGAGTACACAGCACAGCATGTCACAAAGTTGTTACAAAATAAACCGAATGTGATTGTTCCTTTCGAGGCATTTATTTGTGCCTTCTGTAGTTTAGTAATAGTAAAAGTATTAGTAATAATAATAATAATAATGATACAAAAATTACACATACAAAAAAGGGAATGAAGAGTGTCTGTAGATACTAACCGACACGCACGCACGCACACGCACAGAGAAGTTGCGGTACAATCGTAGAAAAACGACAGACAGACGACAAACAACTGTGTAAAAGACACTATGAGAAAGAGAGAGGGGGCGGGAGGGGAAAATACACAATGAAGGGGAATACACTCTTTTGCACAAAAATTGAAGAAAATGGAGAGAGAGAGAGAGAGAGAGAGAGAGAGGAAAAACACGCCACGAGTGTGAATATAGAAAACCACACCCAACCATCCACACACACACACACTTACAGAAAGAACACGTTAATGCCTTGTACACGCATAGACACAAATATAAATACAAGTTTCTGATTATTAGTTATATAATAGTATGAATAATAATAATAATAATGATAATAATAATGTATAATAGGAGAAATTAACTATACACAAGTGCTAAAAAGTATGACTCTATGGTGACATGAATACACATATATGTATATATATAGGTTTACACATGAATAAAAGTGGGAAAGGGGCGGGGACGGCCAGTAGTGTGTAAATCTTTTCAATCAATTCATCAATCAAACACACATCCACAATAATGAATATTGGAAGGAGTAGTTAGATTGCTTTGCGTGGGTGGCAAGGAAAAGCATTTTTCTTTGTGGTTATCGGTGTCGTCGTTGGTGTTATTATTACTGATCTATTTAACTTTGTGGAGGTAATGTCAACGGTTGTAAAGATGGCGTAGCTGCCGCTGCCGCCACTTGACTTTGGAGTACAGAAAACGATGGAGTTTGTTGTTGAAGGATATGTTGTGATTGCGGTTGGCCAACACCACTGTTCACGCTACTGTTATTATGGTTATTATTGTTATTATGATTATTATTTGTTTGGTAGCCAGATAGAAGACATGAAGGATTACCGCCGACACTGGGAATAACAGAGGCACCAATACAACTGGAAGGCGGAGTTGTTGTTGCTATACCGAGTGGAATAGGCCCAGGAAGTGAAGATGTATCAAGATAATGCCTGCAAAAGAAAAGAAAATCACAATATTTGAATTGTAATATAATAATATTAAGCCCTAGCAATAATGATAATAATAAAGCGTAGAAAGGAGTATATCTTGATTTTGATTGGAGCAGATACGCCTTGCCGACTGCTGAGTGCCAACTAACACTAAACCTCGGTCAAACAAGGCTTCCTGCCGATTGTCTCCAACCATCTAATTTCAACAAATCACAGCGCACCATGATGGCGATACGCCTAGTGGCACGGTGGGCACACTGCAAACGCTGACTGATAGAATTCAGTTAAAGAGGTCAATAGCGAGTCAGCCCGAATAGCTCAGTGGTGGTAACACTCTCTGACTGCAGCTCTCAATAGGTGACGCAGGTTCGAATCTCATAAGGGAGATGAGTTTCTTCGAGGTTAAAGATACGTCTCGCTGATTGTTGAGTGACAACGCTAGTAGGAAACTTAGGTGCAGGCGGCAGTGCTTCCTGTGGCCGACTGCCTCCAACCATCTAATATCAAGAGTATATCTTCTTTGTATAAAGTGAACTAAAAGAAACTAGTCGAAAAATACCTCACACAAGTAAATAATGTCGACACCACAGCAAAGCATCAGTTTTGTGTGAACAAAACAAACACAGACAGCCCTGCTTGAAACTTGGAAACTAACTAAAAACTTAAATCAATATAATACATAAAAATTTTCTTATTCAGTTTGTTTAAATCTAGTAAAACATGTCGCGAGTATTTAAAATATTTACAACCTGAGGATTCAAGTTTCTACTAAACTTGAGAAAAAGTATAATTCTAGGTGAGATAACTATTCCTGAGTCGTGTCTTTGGTTCACCAAACTGCACTCCTGAACTTCTCGAAGCAGGCAATGAATGCGTTTGGTTTGCGCTTCAGGTCAGACAGGACTGTATATCACAGACGATCTACTGTCAGTTAGAAATTTTATTCGAAGATTCTGGGAGAAGAGAAGCTATCCATGCATTAAACTCCACTGCATTTTATTAATTGGCTTAGTGGATAGAACTTTGGAGCTTGAAACGATGGGTGCTGGGGGGGTTCGAATCACACCAGTGGGAATAGCACTACTCTCATTGGGAATCAATGCATATTCAACACACAAGTTCCAAGTAGCATGAAATACGCATCGAATGAGACGTAAACACCCTAAGACTTCACACAAAGGAAACAAATTAGATTCATTACATTACTCAGGGATTGACTTGCTACCAGGGAAGAATCTCGTTGACTTAGAATACGCGGACGATATAGTCCTTCTAGGCGAGGACTCTGACAAAATGCAGAGTCTACTGAACACCCTGAGCAACAACCTCCGCATGTTTGGCATGCGATTCGCCCCTATAAAATGTAAGATGATGCTGCAGGATTGGACTTCATCGACCCCTAGATTAGAAATAGGAAGTGAAGTGGTAGAACACGTTGACCGCTTCACTTACTTGGGAAGTACCATCAGCCCCAACGGGTTGATCTCCGACGAAATTTCAGCACGAATACAGAGGGCTAGGTTCGCATTCGCCAGTTTTCGCCGTCTCTGGCGTAGACGCGATATCCGACTATCGATCAAAGGGCGTGTGTACTGCTCAACAGTCCGCTCCGTCCTCCTTTATGGCTGTGAGACCTGGCCATTGAGAGCAGAAGACATGAAAAGATTAGCTGTCTTCGATCATAGGTGTCTGCGTTCTATCTCCCGCGTGAAGTGGAATAATAAGGTGAGCAATATTGAGGTTAGGCGTCGAGTGCTAGGTAAGGCGGGGAAATCAATCGACGAGACTGTGAAATTGCATCGACTGAGATGGTTAGGACATGTGCTACGTATGCCTAGTCATCGCCTTCCTCGACGGGCAATGTTAGCTGATATAGGGTCAGGCTGGAAAAGAGCTAGCGGCGGTCAAACCAAAACATGGCACCAATCAATGAAATCCACAACAGTTAATCTAAGCCACGTAGGAAGATGTAGACTTCCTGGTTGGGGCCCTCGGGATGGTAAAAACCAATGGTTGGAAACAATTGGCGACATGGCTCAAAATCGTTCTCAGTGGCGCAGATGCATCCACTCCTTGTGACTTATGATTTCCAATTAAACTTTTGTTCTCCGTTATTACTATTCCTTTGTCTCACACCACTGTTTACTGTCTATATTTTGCATTTCTTCTACTTCCTTCTCTTGCTTTGCGTGCTACATGGATTGTGGCGACTTGAACTGCCGCACATATGTGCAAAGTTCTATGTCGAAAACAGACAGACAGACAGACATTACATAAAGAACAGTCAATATGATTTTGTAATAGGGATTTTCATCTATAATACAGGCAACATATCACAGTTCAAACTCTTAAGCTTTGATCTAGCCTACCACCACCACTACGAGACAAAGCACGCAGATGGACATTGATACAATAAATAAGGTGTGCAAGATAGTTTGACCTGAGATTATTCTCTGATAAACCCATATCCAGTCTGTATTTAGAGAGATAAACGCAGGAGGATGATGAAAGGATTCAAAATAGAATTAATGCTGAAGATCTCTACGAACAAAAAACAACCAATTAGCAGTAGAGGTAGCGAAGACAGAAAAGGTAGAGGTGATGACGATACACCTCACCAACCACGACTATGAACAACAAGAAGCAGCAGCAGCATCAAAAGCACCATCAACAGAAATCTAAAGGACGTCACCACCTCTTCCATCCCTCATCTAGGCAGGATTATTTCAAATGACAGGTAGTTGAGGGGGGGGCACGAATGAGGATATCAAATCCAGGATGAGAAGCGTAAGACAGTCCTTCATTAGTCTGAAATGCATAAGAAGATCTAATGCACTCAACATAAAGCGAAAAGATTCGAATCTTCCAAAACAATATTAAGTCAGTAAGTACTTCATCGTGTCATCAAAAGCTTTCTGACAGGTTATTGTTCATTCAGATTTTTATCAACACAGCTGTTGCCTTCCTTCACTGACTCTATATACTGAAGACCACATGACTGATCAGAAAGGATTAGCAGCAAAGGCAATCTGGCAGGCGACGAACCAACCAAGAACCTATCACAATCCAACAAATATACCAAAGGCAATGAAGATGGACTGAATATACGCTGAGACCGTTGACTTTGGGCTCCGGAGGGTGACATAGAGGAGGAGACTGTGTGAGGGCGAAATGAAACCTGACTGGCAATCGTGGAACCAATTAAGAAGGACAGCAGAAGACAGAATGAAACGGAGATATGTCACCGCTCGAAACTCAAAAGAATAATAGTAATAATAATACAAATAATAATATACATTTGCCATGTGAATGTGAACGATATGTTCCAGTTTGCTTATCACTACATCAGCTGTGGAGTTAGGTGATCTGTAGTCAAAATCCTAATCCCATACTGTGGAATTAGAAGAGGAAAAGAAGGCCACTAACTGATGGTAATGCTGTCTGAGACAGATAATTCTTAGGATTGCCAGACTGTTATTTGAGGGTGAAATATAAAAGTGGATCGTGGTAGAATTTGAACCATCAACACCTCAGAATTAGTATAGTCCAGTTAGTGCTCTACCAACACAGCCAAGAGACCCATCGAACTGCAAAGTGAACTATCGCATTATACTCAAGTGGCAACAACACAAACACATTAAAGGCTATATATGTATATATATGTATAGACAGATATACTCCTAAACGCTAAGTGGATGGAAAAAAATTTTGTTGCAAATTTTGACAAAACAAGACAAAATTAGATTATGCACACATACGCACACACACATGCACGCACGCTTACTTTAATTGTGCTTTAGGCTTTAAATAGTCATCATTAGAAAGTTGAAAGACATCCGGTCGAAGATCTTTTCGATACGTACAACATTTACGGATAAATTCCTATTAAGAAAGATTAAAAAAATATAAAATCAACAACATTAAGCAATACACCAATCAGAATAGAATATCGCATACTAGAGACGCAGAGAGAAAGCATATATACATATATGGTAGTAAAGACGTTTTCAAATCATCTGTATGTAGTTCGTTTCGGCCCTGTTATCCTGGACTCGTCAGGTGAGTATAGCTGCATCCGTAGAAAGAGTGATGGTATCCCCACTGAGATTCGAACTCAGTATCCACTAAGCGCCTTTGGGACACGACAGCCATCTATGCCAAGGTGCAACAGCAATCAATTATGATTTGTTTAAGTTAATTGTCATATTTTCCGTTGAATGATTTATATCTGACTGCAGTGTTCGGTCTCTGTTGACATGTTAGCTCCTAGTACGGATACTTCGACGATATCACTTGGTTGACAGTGGAATGAAGGTTGCGCAATTCACCCTATTCGGGAACTCATCAGACAGACGTGTCTCCTTCCCTAGCAAATGAGAGATGAACCTGGTATGTATCATTTCAAACGCCAAAGCGTTATCATCCACTAAGCCACTGAGAAAACACATTGTAGTGCTTGTATAGTAGGAGACACATCAGCAGAGATTAAACAACATTTCGATTGAATAAAATCGATCGAAAGGAGGGAAATTCATAATAACAATAGTAACAATGATAATTCCAACAAGTAAAGGTATTTATTCCCTTATTTCCCAGTAGGATTTTAATACTTTAATGGGGAGTCTCAAAGTAGACTTTATAAATACCTACATTGCACATGTAATAAATGCATTTCATGATAGGTGGGAGTAACTACCGTAACCATCGGTGTATTTATAATAAACAGAAATCTGATGCACGCTAGTGACTGGCTACAGTAACGGAGTTTCCTGTTGTTCTAGTGACAGAAGTTGCGACCAGTGGGGTCCATCCTGTTGGGAGTGAGGACACATACACTCGCGCCAAAAATGACTTTGGCTGGTGGCAACCGCGCTACAAATCACAAATTGGTGGAAGTTAGAATTCATGAGCTAGACATTGAGTAGTGTGTCCCAGTGGCTGAATGGTCTACCAGTAAGAATAATTTTCAACCACAAAAGTCACTTATTATCTAAATAAATTAGAAATATTCTGTCAGATTGCGAAATCAGCTAACAATGTTGGTTCGAAAGATGTTAAAAGAAGAAAATAAGAATTCCAATTTTCACACAGACGCAGGATTGGATTTGGAACCGTTGGCTAAACGAGTAGTGTTCGCATCATTGATCTAAAGGTACCCGACACCCAACATTCTACTGGTCGCGCATTCAAACCCCACTCCACCCCTCCCAAGGATTGGGTAGTCAGGTAGTATCACCACGCTAACCCTTACACGCTTAGTGTAGCTCACTGACAATTGCATCCAGTTGTAAGCGGTTGACGAGTAACATTTCCTTTCATAATAACCTGAAGATGGGGGGGGGGTTCGATCCCTGAGGGAGAAGGTTATTATTCGAAACTTCAGTCTAACTAACACGTAACATATAATACCAATCAAGAACTATTACAACACAATTTACTTTCTTTTCATATGGATACCGAAATGGTGACGAATAGATAGGATAATACGTTATAAGACGAAACAGTCACACACACATACCCACATACACTATGTTAGTCATTTCACAGACCTCATTCGAGAAAGCTACACACTTGTCTATATACAATGATGGCCTAAGGGCTCGACTTTCAGGTAAAGTGTCTCCTGCGTTCGAATCCGGCCTACTTTCGACATCGTAATATCATTTATCTCCACACACACAACAATACATGTGCCTTAAATGTTAGTTTGGTACATGAGAGATCCGTTACATGCGAAATGTGAGACAGATAGGTACGTAATAAAATACTAAGCATGAAAATACCCTCTGACAAATTGATTCCCAAACACACGCAAAACGCTTACGCAACCATCAAGGCAAATAGAAAATGACAATCGAAAATAGAGGGAGTGGTGTCAATGATTACACTTACCTTTGCACCATCGCTAACTTTTGTTGTAGACGGGAATACAATGGACCGGGCATGAAGAATTGTATTCTCATGGAGTATATCAGCCTGAGACATATTATGACCAAATGGCTGTAGAATGAAAAAAACAAACATATAAAAATGTGTGATATTACTGATTAACTTAGTGCTAGTAGTAAGCAAATGTTTATCACCACAAGAATAAGTTAAACATGACTATAGTGGGCAGCGGATTACTATTATTATTATTACTAAACATATGTCAAGCATGCTTAGCCGTCGATCGCCTTTCTAAACAGTCACCGTTAGTTGGCATAGAGCTAGTGGCGGTCAAACGACAACATGCCTTCATCAGTCCATGAAATCCATAACAGTTAGTTTAAACCAGCTAAGTATGGAGAAGTAGACTGCCTGACCGGTTGGGGTCCTCGGAATGGTAAGAACCAATGAAGGCTAGAGCATATGGGTGATATGGGTCAAACTCCTCGTTCTCAATGGCTGGGCGCAGATGCATTCACTCTTTGTAATTTGTCATATCCAATAAAGCTCTGTGGTTTTCTCCTATTACTGATGTTTACCCCTCACTCACATTTCTGTTTATTATCTCTTTCTCTCTCTCTTTTGAATCTCTGTTTACTCTCTTCTCTTGCTTTGTATGCTACATGGAGTGGAGTGTGCCAACTTGAACTGCTGCACATCAGGGAGAAGTTCTACGTTGAAACCAGTCAGTCAGTCACCTAACGAATACGACTTCCTTCCTTTCTTTCCAAGTGCTCTCCTCTCACTTCCTTTCTACATACATTTACTCTCGTAAGTACACGTAAATTGATACATACAACCGAAGATGACATGAACAAGATCAGATCCTGAAATTAAACAACATCCTGAAATTTTAACAACTGTTTGTGACAACTCATCACCTTTGTTACTATCCTAGCACCAACCTTTACCTGTTTAGTTAAAATAACCTTAAGCAATTATAATTCTTGTATCCACTTAGATCTCTTACATAATTTCTACCTTGTTTCTATGTGCATCCTGAGTAAAACTCACTATTATTATTACAACTGTTTGTGACAACTCATCACCTTTGTTACTACCCTAGTTTCACTTAATTTTCTTGACCTGTATTACCAACCTTCACTTGTTTAGTTAAAATTAACCTTAACCAATTGTAACTTTGTTTGACAAACTTAATGTACACATACATACAAAACAATGCATATATATATTTGCGATTGTACAGCTAAGAAGATGAATTCGCCGAAAAGAGACTCTTCGCTGATCTACGTGTTTTGTTTTCATTAAATTAAACAGTATCTTGTGTAATATACCGTATGATAAATCTAACCACCGAAAATGCCCTTTTCAGTAAACCAATCCTTAAAATGTCTGTGTTATTCCTTTGCGTTCCGAGTGGAACATAGAACTTCAAGACTTGAACTTTGAAGCTTTAGTAACAGTGGTGCGTATTTTACGGGGGCGAGGGATTGCTAGACTCATCCAACCCTTCCTCTTTACCGGGCTTACTACCGGTTGAGAGAGGTTAAAGTGTACGTCAGCCAGCGATCGAACTCTCCAGACTACATACGTGATTGGCGGGTATTCTACCACACTGCATCACTGACATAAAACCATAGAGAGTCGGACATATGTTTCGTCCTAAATTGGGACTCTTCATCCGTAGGCACCGATGCGGATTCGAGCCGAAGAGCTTCCGATTACAAGGCGAGTTTCCATAAACCATTTAGCCCTTGATTTATCCTTGCTTTGTTCAAATACTTCTCCAAAAAAATATTAAGTTATTAAACAACAACAAAAAGCTCACCTTTTTACCAAATAAACACTGAAAGAATATTACACCAACCGACCAAATATCAACTTTTGATGAAATTTTCGGTGGTTCACGTCCGGTTTCAAAACATTCCGGTGGTAAATACCAATAAGTGCCAGCACCTTGTGAAGTTAAATCCATTCCAGTCTCTGGATTATACTTATCCTCTGTCATTAATTTACTTAAACCAAAATCAGTGATTTTAATTTCACCAGCAACTTGTCCAGACCCCAAGAGAATATTTCCTACAAGGAATCAATGAATGAATCAATAAATGCGACAGACAAATAAACTGTAACAATCTATAACAGTGCATGATATTATGCATATATGTAATATTGCCCGATTTCATCTGGAATCCACATCAGGGAATACTGAGCATCTCTTCCGTCATATTTTAGGACTCTTTCATCAGTGAGCACCTATGAGATCCTACTAGAGATCGAATCCGGGAGGATTTCCAGATTATGAGACCAAGCTTGCTCACCGACCATTCAGTGACCCATGGATTCTTTGTCAATTCGTGATATAGCGGTCTTATCAAAATAAAACAGAACGAAACAGATATCCAGTGTTTCTTGATGGCTTTCAGTAAACTCTCTCTCTTGCTCGCTCAATAAAGTTGGTTCGTGACGACATCTAACAGCCGAAATTAAATCAATACAAATCTCCACAATCTAGATATATACAGAATAGTTTATGGAATCTATGGATGGATAGATTTTAGAAAAAGGACCATTTAGTTTTACCACAAAGGACATCTTGCCAACTTGATTTAGAAAAGACGATTTTCGAACATATCATTAGAAGTCTTTATATTGTCTTTCTACATTCCAGATTCATGAAGATGGTTTCCTTTAGAAGCCACTGCTCTCTATCTGTGTGAAAGATAAGCTCCCAAGCGTTCACCTGCTCTTGTAAAGCAACATACACAACATACATAGTGAATGTTTCCCAAACGGATGATACGAGAGCAAATACATTCCAATATGATTTTATAAGGGAGAAATGCGAAGCGTGTGTGTGTGAGAGAGAGCCTGTGTAATATCTGGGATACTTGATCGATCGACTTCAATCACTAAAGTAACCCTGAGAAGAATGAGCATTTTCTGAATTTATGCAAACCTATAGCATGTTCTTCGTTTCAAACATCTAAAGACTGGGAAGTCCTCGACTATTCATGAATTGAAGTCAGAAGTTTGTGTACAAGAGAAGTAGAGGCACAAGTTCCCATTTCTACACATTTGCCTTAAAATAGAAAAGAGGGGTGAAAAATATTTTGTCTTTATTTATCTCATTAATATGTGCAGTTTTTTGCAATACTTAAGGCTACCTCATGAAACTTCTCATGCTGTTACGTAATGTTATTTGTACACCAATCATACTAAATTTACAACCCTTTTTAATATGTTTAACATCCTAATAAGCATTTTTAGGGATTTTGTTTGATTTGTTAGAGGATTTCATCATGAGCTGACATCAGTTGGAGAACCATTGGAAAACCTGGGAATACTGGACAGCTGTTTCGTCTTATCTTGAGACTCTTCAGCGAAACAGGTTTTCCAATGGTTCTCTAACTGATGTCAGCTCATGATGAAATTCTATGTTGAACTCAACCATTGAATCAATCGATCAACCAATCAACCAATCAAAATAGCAGTAAAAATAAATAAATGCATGCATGCATGTATGTCTACTCACCTGGTTTTAAATCATAATGTATCACCGGAGGTTTACGTTCATTTAAGTATTTCAAAGCAGACACCACTTGACATATAATTGATTTCGCTTCACGTTCAGGGATACTTTTATTTTGTTTAAGAAAGAAATCTAGATCATTGCCTTCACTGTATTCAAGTACTGTGCAAAAACTGTATCATAAGCCGAAATAATGAAGAATGAAGAATAGAGATGAATTAAAAAAATATGAAAATGTAAACATACTCTCACATGCAAATAACTCTAAAATGTTCGCAGTTTAAGTACTTAATAAGTATATATTAAGTTGCTTTATGTATATATAGCTGGTCCAAAGCCCAGGGAATCAGGGTGGGTCGGGCGTGAGGCTGTCTAACGACCCTACCTCGGAAAACCAATCAGTGTCATAGAAATATTAAAAATGTGAAGAGTAAACTAGTTTTTATCGCTGAAATCGGAAAGGCGAAATGACACACCGAGTTGGTGAAAGCCTTTGGGTCTTCTTCAAGCTTCCATCTCTATTTATCTCGCTTAGGTGTCATTTGAATGAGAGTTAGACTCACACGTAAATACAACATTTACGCGAACACTCCTCTCACTCAACAGAAATAAGGTGCTTCATACATTTATTCCCCTTAATGAATTTGAATAAAGCAAGAACAACAGCTTTTGCAGAATAAAGTGGTACCATCATCGTTTATTTTGTTGGCTTCTCATCAGCTGCTTGCAGCCCAAAGGCATCATTAAGTGTATCTACAGAGACAATTTTAACACACTTGTGCAGAGTTCATTTTTAAACAAAAATCAATCAACATATGCATACAATGCTAATTATAACAATAGTAATAAACACCTTATCCCAAACAACAATCATATTCATACACAATGGAAACTTTCGGCATTATGTAATCAGACGAAAGAGAGAATGAAAACATCCAGTTACCAGGTGGGCAAGGAAAGACTGATAACCGCTTCTTTCTGAACACATAAATCGGGTTTCAGGCGCTTGATGGAGATTGCTTTGGCAAACTTAAGGAGAATTGAACTCTTGCTTATTGATAATTTTGAACGATGTTGAGATGTCCACCTCATGACCCGTTTCAAAGAGATGCCTAGAGATGGCACTGTTTAAAGCATTTGTTCTCTTGAGATGTGGGCTTTTTGGTACATGTTCAGAAAACCGGAGGTATGCCTTCCTTTCTGTTCTCCGAATGTAACTGCTCCCGCAGATACATGTAAATTTGTATAAACAGTTGGAGTCAACATGAGAAGGATATTTATCAATTTCTGATTGCACCAAAGAGGAAGTTGTTTGATAGACGGGCTCGAGCTTAGCTGCAGGATAGGCTCTGGCTAGTGACAACCTCAGTCTTCTGTTGACAATTGCTGTAATATTTTCACCTTTAAAATAAAGTTGAATGATTTGCTTGACATTTGAGCCTTCAGATCTTCCGTACCTGTTAATTAACCTTTGAAGGTAACCGTCTCTTTTCAACATCTTTTCGAGAAACATAAATTCTTCCTCCAATTTCCCTGCAGAGCATATTCTCCTATCTCTATAGTACACAGGGTCTTGACTAGTGTTCGTTTAAAGCTATTTGGACAAAAACTATTAAGATGTAGGCATTGTCCTTTTCACGTAGGTTTTCGGTAAACTTCTGGAGACTACCATCTTGTCTAGGCATCACATGGCAATGTCGAGGAAATGGAACTTCCATCATTTTCATGTTCCATAGTATATTCAATATTTGCATGTGCGTCGTTAAATAATCTGAATAGGTAGGAAGCATGACTTTTATTGTTGCACGCTGTTAGTCAGACTATCTAAGAGAATAACCTTTATTAAATAATATAAATCAACCCAAAAATATCCCAAAAAGTATAAAATAAATAATATTGAATGAAATCCTAACACAATTATTCACTCGTCAATTTAGTGCAATGAAGAATAACACTTACGCATCATGATCAATATCGAATACATCGAAAACTTTCACTATTCTTGGATGATTCAGCGTTTTATGGATCTCAATTTCTCTAAGTGCATGTCTGTAAAAAGAAATTAGGAAATATATTGTTGAAAAATGCAGTCATTAAAATCAAACTACTTAAATAGAAGATAAGTAGACACTAGTCCGTGAAGAACACTTCCGAGAGAAAACAAAAAATTAGATGTGATATTCGATCAGTTTTATGTTGTATGAGATAAACCGAGGAAGAAGGTAGCTAGAATATATATGTGCCACATATCAAGTGATCGTGTGCTCTTCTTTGATGAACGATCTTGGTGGAAATAGTGTCCCGCTTGATTTGAAGCTAAAAATACTTAAATGTAAGCTGTTTGGGGGGAGGCGAGCAAGGGTGTTTGAATCAATTGTTGGGTATGATTACGGAGATAACTCAAACTTGGTTCACACAGTCGCAAGCACAAGTGTTTTTTACGCTTTATTATTGTCTAAATTCTAAACGTTCACAGTAAACCCCATTTTTAAGAAAAAGCTGTCTGTATCTAGCCATCACACTTATCCATTTTACCATTGACTGTTTCAAAGTCAGCAAGTGTGCAGATAGATAATACTTCCCAGCTGTCTACACCTTGGAAGTCGACTTCTTCTTGGAGTATGTGGGACAGAAGGAGCACATTGGTGTTGCGTGACCGCTGAGTCTAGGGAACAAAACTGCTTGAACCAAGTCACATACAACCTGTTTGAAGTCGTTTTTCAAGTTTTCAGGATATTTAGATTTTATCGCCAGGGACTGTACCGCTGAGATGTAAGTCAGGATGTATGGTTTTCAGAGTCGGCCTTTCCTAACCTACCCCTCTCTCCAGAGCGGATGGGTAGCTGGGGTTATCTGAAGAAAGCCTCTTACTGATGTTACATCCCAATATATATTTCGGCAGTACAACTTCATCCAAACACATCCAACATAGTATAAATGAGTTACACTATGAGAGTAACTGCTTTCAGTTTGACTACTATCCAAGTGACCCTTCTAGCATGGCAGTGTGTAGTGTAGTTCTTTGGGTGATTGCGATAGGCAAGCCCAACCACCAACTATGTCAGGGTAGCAGCTACCGGCTGGGATTGTTTCGAAAAGTGTGACTTGTTGAAAAAATTTTATTATGTGCAAAATTTCATGTTTGTAAGAGGTGGTTTGTGAGATATGCGAATTCCCCAGATCTATTAAGTTCTGGTGTTTCTCCACTCAATTATTCTTTCTGACGTACATTTCGCCTCATTATAACTTTTCTAAGTCGTTCTTCTTTTTTCCCGACTGAGAGCTGCTACCTTGACGTGGTGGTGGTCGCCGGGCTTGCATATCACAATGACCCATCAAGCTACACTGCATGGAACTATTATTCCTGCAGGTCCTACCATGCCAGGAAGGTTGTTAGGATAGCGATTAGACTAAAAGCAGTTACTGGCATTGTGTAAGATCTTTTCATACTATACTGGGGGTCTGTGGGAAAAGTCGTACTGCTGAGGAACAGGGACGTAACAGCAGTAAGGTGTTTCCGTCAGATGACCAGTATACCAGCTATGCTGTCCCTTCAGTCTGGAAAGGGGGATTTAGAAAATGCATCCCGACTTACCCTACGGTGGTCTGTAGCCGTAACGGTATGTTATTATTATGGAACCGAACCTAAAAACCCAGTTTATACAGGCCTTGTGTGACTGGCGACCTCAAGAAGTTGTCCCTTAGGCTTTTTGGACACACTACACTAATTATCTTTTTGTGTCAGGTATCCCAAGAAGAAAAAAAGTAACGACCGCACACACACTTCCAAAAGCACATGAAGCCCTCCTGATCATCATTTTCTTTTATCCACGTTTTCTTTCGTTCTATACCTTTGGAGTATGGCAACTTGACCTGTTGCACTTCTGTGTAAAGTTCTATGTTAAATTACTCAGTCAGTCAGTTATAACTACACCCTATGAATCGATACTTGCCCTACACACACATACATATGATGTAATATGGCATTCCTTAAGCCTAAAAATTATGAAGTGTCTGATTTCGACTAAGCCTTGTAGAATCCGAGAACTAGTCATAAGGGACTAAGGCTAATTCACTCACTGAACAAACCAACTGATAATGATCAACTAATTAGGACAGTGCAGACGTGAATCGTTATAAAAGTTCTAGAGAATAGCAGCAATTCTTTGCATTGTGTACATACACCTTTTAAAGTCAGTTTTACTAATGTTGAGTGTAGCTAACATATGCAGAAAAACGTAAATGAACTAGTGCATACATAAATTTTTTTACATATATAAAGACAGCTGACTGACTGGTTTCAACATAGCACTTTGCACAGATGTGCAGCAGTTCCGGTTGTCACACTACACTCTATGTAGCATAAAAAGCAACAGAAGAGAGTAAAGAGGGATTCAAAAGATAAGGAGATAATAAACAGAAGTGTGAGGGGAATGCATCTGCGCCAGCCATTGACAATGAGGATTTTGAGCCATATCACTAATTGTCATCCCGAGGAAACTAACCAATCACAGGAAGCCAATCTACACTTCCCTACGTGGCTGGCTTACACTAATTGTTATGGATTTTATGGACTGATAAAGTTATGTTTTGGTTTGACCACCACTAGCTCTTCCTTTTCCAAACTAATCCTAGGTCGGCTAAGATTGACCGTTGAGGAAGGCGATCGATAGATAGGCATACGCAATACATTTCCTAATCATCTCAATCGATGCAGCTGCTTCACAACCTCATCGATTGATTCTCTCTCTCTCTCTTTACCAAACACTCACTCGACACCTAACCTCAATATTACTCACCTTATGATACTACTTAATACGGGAGATAGAACAGAGGCACCTATGAATAAAGACAGATAGCCGGGTTTTTCATATCTTCCCCTTTCAACGGTTATGTCTCACTCACAGCTAGTAAGTCATAAAGAAGCACCGAGCCAACTGCTGCTGCTGTGCAGTACACACGTCCTTTGATAGATAACCAGTCGGATATCACGTTTACTAAGCGAGAGATGGCATAAGTTGGCAGGTAAATGCGGAAAGAGCTTTCTGACTCCGTGCTAAGATATTGTCAGGGTTACCTAGATCATCAAATTAGTTCTGATGACACTGGAACCCAATAAACTGATCTGGTTGAAAATCAAGCTACCAAATTAATATTGAGTCATAATTTCATGTTAACAAGACACTATTATTCATATAATCAACTGTCCTGTGAGCGTGCACACACACCATTTTTGAGGTCAAAGATGGAAGGGTTTTTTTTAAAAATGATAATACATGTACCTGAAGGGTAAAATGACACAGTCTGACTTTTATTTCAGGAAAGAACAATTTCATGAATGCAGTTTCATCAGATGAGTGTCAAAGTGATCAGATAATCCCCCCCCCCAAATGAAAATCATTCATATCATTTCGCTCAATAGGAATGAATAAATTCTAAATAATCAGAGAGTCAACATGAATTGTAGTAGCTTAACGCTATTCTGCTACCACCCAAACCATGCGTCGGTGGAGCAAAGGTCACCAACTGTGCACGTGGCCCAAGGTTCAACTCCCGACCAACGCACTCCCAAACCTTGCTTAGCCGGTTATAAGCCCGACAGAGAGGGAAGGTTTGGAGTGGGACTAGCAATAAACCCATTGCTGCCGAAACTTCAAAGCTCTCCCTTGAAGCCCTATGTTCTACTGGGAACGCGAAGGAATATGGGGAAAAAACCCACCCAAACCAAACTACAAAATGGGATATAAACCTCGTAACACTTTTATTATTTTAACCAATGACAGCTTTTTGTTAACAGTTAAACCACCACACAGTTACCCGATACGTGGGGCCATATGAGTCATACTTAGCGTGTCTGAGAGCTAACAATACCGCACTAGCTGCTGCCTAGAATGAAGTAGGTGGAGTGGGATTTGAACTCAGGACCCATTGGCTAGGAGTTGAGTACTTATATCCCAATGAACAACCACATCTCCACCCAATTATTAAGACAATAATACAAACAATTTATAACGTGATTTCTAAATTTTAGTATAAACTATACTTACTTTATATAATTATCTTTTTTATCCTTAGGCCAAGCAGGATTGAGTTGATGAATTTTACAAGCAACATAACGATTAGCGACAAGATCAAAACCCTTAATTTTGGAGAAAAAAAAACAGAAAAACAACAACACATAAAATATAAAAAGTTATTAAACATGATAAATTAAAAAAAGAAGAGAATTATTGATGTATAATGTGATACCTTGATTGAAAATAGCTATCCAGAAAAGTTCATCAAGCAACACATGACCAAGAAAAACAGGAAAGAACTATTCCCCATGTGTAATAAATAAGAAGCCTTTTTATACATACGACTGCAATTCAAAGGTGACACGCACCTAGTGAAATAATCACTAATAAGTTAAGAAAATCCATTCATCAAAGAATTTGTAATGCTGGTAAACTATAAGTCATACTTTCTACACGACCGGTTGTGATTCCTCAATTGAAAGATGAAGTACCTAGACTAACCACTTCTAATTGTATCTATCAATTCAACTGAGCTCGTGATGGAGCGAGTTATATTGGCCGTTGCTCTAGGAACTTAATATTTTCGTGCTCCCTCGGGAATATCTACCAGTGTGGCTAAGTAAAGGTGCAGTGAAAACCATCATCAACAGTTCGATATTAGACCAACCGGTCCAAACCAGCCACAAAGCCAGCATTGAAGAATCCTTCTCTATTATCTGTCGAGTACCAAATAAATTGCCAAAAACATCCAGGCACCACATACCCCAAATAGTAGAGGCTACTGTGATTCGCCTGAAACAACCGAGTGCTCTCTGTGTACAGAAGAAGCAAGCCCAGCCAGCCACTACTACTACCCTGGTCGGCCTTCAGTGAAGACTATAAATTCATGAATTCGCATTATTATCGCTCCTAATTTTTGTGATATTCAGTGTGTATTGTTGTGTTGATGCTGTTGAACTGTAATCTATTGATATTATTGATTCGATGTTATTTAGGCAGCATTAATGTTGTTGGTAACGCTAATACATTCACTATTGTGGATGGATATATAACCGTAGAACTTGATGAAGGAGGCGTTATCGAAAGAATAATCTTTGTTCAGTAACCATTCCCTTTGAAAAGATTTTAATGGCCATTTTTAATCAAATATTGATGATCTAACTACGAATGATTTGATCACAAAGTGGAACTAACTACAGAAACCAATGAGAAGCGGGTAGTTCTTACATCATTCTATTTTGAGTCTCCTTAACAGTGTGCATACTCATACAACTGTAAGCCCCCATAAACGATTTGACACAGCCGAGCGGGGGGTGGACTTCGGTCTTTCTATCGAAATATTCTCATGTGACCACGCGTTTACAGCCTGTTCACTGTCTTTAAGTGGATGGAGTGTTTCTCACAAAAGTGGGAGATGTTTAGCGCTTACAACCGAACTGGTGGACATTCAGGTCAACCTAGAGGAGATAGAAAACCCTCACATTCTAAACCTATGGTGTAGATGGCTTCCAGAATCAGAAATGATCGAATAACACGTATGAACCTATTTTAGACACAGGAAACCATTGGAGCGCAGCTCCTGACGCTGCTCCACTGGCCTTATGGATTAGCCTTCATGTCAAAGATTCGCTGTGCGGAAGGTGGCCTCCCAAGACAACCACCTGCTTCGGTCTTAGGCGTCCGAGCCGTATCCTAACCCTCACACTAACCATGAGATTTTGTGTGGCGTTTACCTTGGTAACCATGGAAAATGTACCAACTTTTCGTTTTAATAATAAAAAAACAAAGTAAAACTGTAAGGAATCGAAGGTGTAACTGTCAGTCTCGAAGATTAATCATTTATTGAGTAGAAGTGCAATGGGCTATGACATCTAATCTCTCCTCACACGAGGGAGTTCTATACCGCGGAGTCAAGCAGACTGTAGTGTTGGATCCACTGACAACAACGATTAAACCGTCAAGCAACACACCTTTGAAATATATGAGGGGGAAGAGGACTTAGAATTCTTGAAAGCAAATTCATCACTGATCACAAACATTCGTAGACAATGAATCTTGAACTCTATAGTATGAAAACGCATGCAGAAAAGACAAAAAAAAGGGAAATACAACTGACCTTGTGTACTTCAGAGAATCCACCTTTACCGAGTAAATTAAGCAATAGATAACGTTCATTCAACAATGGATGATCTTTAAAACGTGAAGCATCTTCATTGGAAATTCGTTTAATTTCACGTATATGCAAATTTCTTTCTCTATCTAAACGTTCTAATTCCATTTGAATTTCTTTATCTTCTTTAACAAGCATTTGTTTACGCAGATCATAGATTTCCAACTGTTCATAAAATTCATCGACAGAAACCCTTTTGCGGAAAATAAACAAATAAACGATATTTTAAATCATTACAGAATAATACAAGTCACCACAATAAGTGACAATATAAAACGACAAACGACAGTAGGATTTCACAGTGACAAGCAGAGTCCTACAGGAGGTCGTCAGTCGTAATCTCGAATAGCTCAAGTGTAAAGTCTCTCTCACCACCCGCCTTTCTGACTGCAGTAATCGGGTGACTCGGATTCAAATCTCAGAAGTGACATGATTTCCTTGCTGACGATGAGTGCCAACAAACACGAAACCCAGACCTAGACAGCGTTCCCTGACAATTGCCTCCAACCAATCTGGTAACAATCCAGAGTGCACTGTGATAGAGAGCCATCTGACATGTTAGCCGCATAGCTAAAGTGACTGACGTAATTCGGTCTGCACCAGCACCGAGGACTAAATCCCAGTTGGTCTTTAAAACCTTTCATAAGAGATTGTAAATCTAAACGAATGCTTTTCATCACACCACTGACTTGGTCACGAGTTCGAACTCCGTCTAAGCTACTGAGGTTTATAATTAGAGACATCCAATACATCTTTCTCCCTTATTTCTATGCGTTCCAAGTGGAACATACGGCTTCAAGTTTTGAAGTTTTAGTACTGCTTCAGTCGTCTTTACAGTGGTGGAGTTGCTAGCCTCACGTTCAACTTTCCCATTTTTAGGAGTCCAACAAATGGGAATCGAACCCCCGGGCCACGTATGTAGCTGATGGACATTCTACCCATTAACCACTAACTCACTACGTCATAGATATAGTAAGTTAAAAGTTAAAGGGAATTAATATACACATACTGAGATCGACTCTGAAACATATCACCGTAGGTACATGAAACTATGTAGGTAGGTAGGCATGAGTAAAGGTTTGTAATTCCCTCTGCTAAATTACTAATCTTGCCTGGGACTTTAAGACATCTAGTGGGTCAACACGGAAAAGAAAAAAAGGTGGGGTGACGGGGAAGAAGGGGAGATGGCTAAACCCTGACTCCAAACCTCCAACGACTGGCGTATGAAGCTCACTGGAGCTCACCGGCAGACGTATGGACAAAGGGCTTGTTGGATGTCCTGGATGTCTGGCCCCATTCAAAAAGGCGTATGAACTGAACTCCGGTCACCGGCTGCCAATGGATAGTGGACTCCCTACTGCCTTGTAGGTCACACTTGGTTGTGTAAAGGCTAGAGCTGCACTCTCAAACAAAAGGCCGAGCGATTCTGGGGACATCACTCGTACCAAATTCCCATGAAACTTCATGAACTCTCTTCATCAGATCGCCGCGCCTGGGCAGCGATGATTCGAGATGTTCATGAAGCCGACTCATCCTCCCGTAGGAGATAGCCAAAGTAAAGTAAAGTAAGTAAGAAGAAGGGCAACAACTTACTCATCATACTTAGATTTAGTACTCTTTTTCCCTTCACCAACATTTGGTTTGCGTTTATTCCATTGTTTCTTTTTACGTTCAATCTCTTCACGAACATGTTCAATATTTTTACGACGTCTAAAAAAACAACAAAAGATGAAGTATATTGATGGTGGTTAAACAAAGAAAGAGATGATCGTTCTACATTTAATACAAAACATTCATTATAAACTGAGAAGTTACAAGTGTATGGCTAGTGACACATCTACGAATGACAAAGGTGAATAAACTTGACTGGCTTTAATACTGTACACCTTAAGATAATAGTGCATCCGTCCAAATTGTCACAACTCGTAAACGTACACGCACACACACACAAATAAAATACAATAATTAAATAAACCATACTACAAAGGAGTTTTCAACTGGTGATTCAAAAGCACCTTTATAACCCCAAATATACACTAGTCTTCAAACCTCTATGTCGTCTAGAACAACAGTCAAAAGCTTCAGAGATTGACGCTATGCTTTAATCCGATCATCACGCTTAGCTCTTTTTTTCAATCTAATCTTACTTGAGCTTAAATCGCTTGTGGAGACAAGCAATGACCCAGCATGAATGATGCGTGTTCTCACCACCTCAATCGACCGATAGCCGCTACCTTGATGTCGTGGTGGTTACCGGGATTGCATATCACAATGACTCAACAAGCTATACTGGATGGAACTATTGTTCCTGAAGATCCTACCATGCTAGGAAGATTGTTAGGATAGCGATTAGACTAAAAGCAGTTACCGGCATAGTGTACGATTTCCTTGTTTTTTACACTACGCTGGGGATCTGTGGGCGAAGTCGTACTGCGGGGGAGCAGGGATGTAACAGCAGTAGGGTGTTTCCCTCAGATGACCAGCATGCCAGCCAGCTATGCTGTCTCTCCCCTCTGGAGAAAGGGGGTTAGGAAGGGTCGACCTCAACAATTGTACATCCCAACTTACCCTGGGGTGGCCAGTAACCAGCGGTAAGTTTACTAATACGAAACCAATCCAAGAAACCAGTTCATACAGGCCGTGTATAACTGCCCTCAAGTAGTTGTCCCTTGAGCTCTGCCGTCACGCAATACTAACCCTCCTTCAACTTCCACGGTTTGGGCAGTCGGGAAGTAACATCCGCCCACACATTTCCAAAAGCACTCTTCTATTACAACCTCATAGACTAATTTTCATTTCTCCGACAACACTACACTGAACCTGACTATATTTATCATAAATATCCTGTGATGACATGTTGCAAATGCTGCACAAGCCTTCCCAATTTGTGCTGAGACCATCTCAGCAACTAGTACATTAGGAATGACACAACATTCAAATAAGTGGTCAGCATATACAAATATCCCATCACCCTCTACCCTCAAACTAAGGGTCAATTAAGGACTACTCCTGCAAAATCATCTTACATTTGACAGTGCTGAATCCCGTGCCAAACCTCTGTTAACGGTGTTCAAGAGACTGAGTTTAACCTACGAGTTCACATCTAGAACGACTTTATCATTTGCATAATCTCACTAGACGAACGAGAGCTTTACCTAGGATAAGATCGAAGTCAACCACCATCTCAATAAGTCTACAAGGAAGTCACATAACCACAGTGGCATCTGGCATCCTTGACAAAATACAAACAATGAGTGCTGGCAGATGTGTTCATGTCCCACCAAGTGCCAACGACGAGTGTAGGTGTGACTAATAATACACCATCGATCAGGCTACAAAACCTAGTTACATCTAATCTTCATGGTTGGAGCAACTGGATTCAAGTTGTACGCTAGCTGAACTTGTTCTCCTCCTCAAAGTGTTCTATCCAACCTTCCAGTCATCTTTTGTAGGAGAATATTAGACTCCTATTCACCTTGAATGTACACACACTAGTTCATTTAGTTAAACAATCAATCTGACCTATAGTGTATGACAGGTTATGCTGGCTGGCTGGATTCAACATAGAACTTGGCACCGAAGTACAGCACTTCGAGTTGCCACGTTCCAAATACCACACAAAGGTAGACAAGAAAATGAGTGAAGATAATCAATAGTTTTGACAGGTATAAGAGTGAAACAGAATGAGTAATGGTAGAAAGGAATAGGAAAGATTACAGAGACTGAATACATCTGGGTAAGCCATTGACAACGATTTTGAGCCATGTCACCAACCATTGTCTCCAGCCATTGATTCTTTGAGTCCCGAGGGCGGGCCCCAACCCGGAAGTCTGCATCTCCCTCCCTACCTGACTCAGTTTAACTGTCAGGGATTTCATGGATTGATGAGGTCATGTTCTTGTTTGGCCACCACTTACTCTTTCCCAACCTGCAGCTATATCAGCTAGTAATGCCCGTCCGTCGGGGGAGGCGATGGTTAGGCATGCACAGCACGTGACCTAACCATCTCAATCTATGTAACTTTATAGCCTCGTCGATTGATTTTCCCTCCTTGCCCAACACTCGACGCCTAACGTCAACATAACTTACTTTACTATGCCACGTAACGTGAGAAAGAGATCGTAAACATCTATGATCAAAAGCAGTCAACATTTTCATGTCTTCAACTCGTATTGGTTATAATCATTTCTGATTGTGTGTAAATCTCAGTAGACGAATTTATCACTGCTTGGTTAAAGGCAGAGGTGTTTAAATTAACGTACAACACCACACACACACACACCATTAAAAACACACACAAAACTTACTGATCTAATTCTTTAAATCTTGAGCCTTCAATCCACTTTTCTTCAAAATGAGCACCTTGTCTTTGAGTGATAAACTGACCTAGCCGTAAACGATTTTCCATGACTTTTTGACGTGTAGTCTTTCTCTCCAATAGACTCTTTAAAAAAACAAAGTACATATATAAACACAAATTTGAAGTGTATTATTAATAGGATCACACACACAAAAAGTTATGAGTGAATAAAAATCCTGATACCTCATGGAGGATGATCTCAAAGCAACAAATAGGAGAAGAGACAAAGCAGAGTAGAATATAATGCCAATACACGTTTTTTTTCTATTCCTTTAAGTTCCCAGTGGAACATAGGGCTACAGGCCAGAGAGTTTTTGAAGTTTCGGTAGCAGTTCATCAGGAGATACGAAGTAGCCAGAACACCAAGACCCACCCCCTCCAACTCACCGCGCTATGAAAGACGTGTACATCAAGCTACCCTATATGGTCGGGGCATCATAGCAGCTTGATAACTAGACAAAGACTGAACGTTGCTATTAAAAAGACTTTTTAGGCAGCTAATATCAAAATAATTGAGAATGTGAAGCCAATATATCTATCTAAGCCCTTTGAAACATGCGAAAAATGATGTCACATCCCAATGGATTTACCAATTTGAATGTACGTGTGGGCACACATACATAAGGAGGACTCATCGATCTCTGCAAGTAAGAGCTGGCTTCAGAGCATATTCCTAAATGGCTCCAGAAACAAATGGAATCTTCAGAACCTATTAACGGTGAGAACAGGAGACCTAGCTCTTCTATTGCGAAACATATAGAGACAGGACATAAAATTGACGTCAACAGATCTTTTAAACTTATATATAAAACGAGTTTGTGGAAGCCCTAGCTGGCAGTTAGGAAGTTTAAACCACCTCTATGGGTTCAAAAACAATTGGTTATCACATGAAACCTTCCTTGGTAAAATTTGTTTTGATACAAGCCAGGGAAGATGTACTATTACCTCTGCTATTTGGTTTAGTGGTCTTCATTATTATTTGACCTTGAATATGTCCTTTACCTTGACCTAAGTAGTCTATTTTCTCACCTCTTAACTCTTTATTAATTTCATATATATTCCTATGACAAGTCCGTGTGTGATCACATTGTTCAAAATGTGTTGTGCAAATTTCACATTACACAATTCAGACAAATTACGCCTTCTTATTGCTTTATCTAAATTCATAAAGGGAACTAATTGTTTTAAAGTTTTTATTTTTACCGGATGCGGTTGCTAGCATCATACCCAATCTTCCCTCTTTACCAGTCTTATTTTACTGGCTCAGCGAGTTAAAGGAGTACGTCGGTGGCCGAAGATCGAAACCCGAATCGCCTGAGTGATTGGCGAGCATTCATTCTACAGCTGTGCACCATCGACGACATAATAATACACACATAAAATACTGCAATTTTAAAACATTCATTACTTACTTTTTCAATTAATAATTCACGTATCATTTCTCGAGAACGAAGAGCATTTTCTTGAAGTTTTGTAATACTTTCACGTTGAATAGCATTTTCATGCTCTAAGTCAGCTATACGCCGTTGAAGACTTTCAACAGTATTAACCACGGGTAAAGATGCACCAGCCGTAAATAAAGCAGAAGTAGCAGGAGGAGGAGGAGGAGCAGCAGCAGCAGCAGTAGGGGGATTGTTATGCAAAGATGTGGAATTTATACACTGAGAATCTTCTATCATAGATTCATTCATTAATGCCGCCGCCGCCGCCGAAGTGACAGCTTCATCTGTTTGCACTCCGACATGAGATTTGAAAGTGTTTACAACACCAGATCCAGATCCAGTTAGAGTAGGAGTGGCAGTTGTGGTGGTGGCGGTTAAAGCACCTGGAACATGAGATATAGGACTATTTAAACTGGATGCAGAGCCTAGATAGCTGAAATTCGCTTGTCCAACTTGAGGATAAGATGAATTCAGATTTACAGATGTATGTAGGTTAGTGTAGGTAGGTAATGGAGTAGCATTGCAAGGTGTAGTACAGGAGACTGGATTTGCATTCATATTTACAGCCATACTTAATCCAACCATAGATACAGGATTGTCACCAGAACTATCGCTTAGACTTGCTGTACTGTTGGCACGAACAGGTGACAGCTGGAAATTTACTGCATTACTTGTAAACTGAACACCACCTGAAGCTGATGTAATAACCAGTTGGTCATTACTTCCACAACTTGTAGTCACAGCTTCATTCACCGATGGGATGTAGTTATGCGTTGTTCCAACCATTTGATTATCAAGAGAATGACCACCTGTAGGGGACTTGACAGCAACAACAACAACAACAGAGGTGACCGATTAAAAGAGTAAAGAACATGTAAGAAAACTTACATTACTTCCAATCAATAAAATTCTTATTACTTTGTTTAAATTTCTTTTCCAAAAAAAGCACTAAGTTTAAAAAGAGAGAGAGAGTCTCTAGTCATATAAATTTGATTCTATAACCTGTAAAATAACGATTATTATGGTGACGAATCTACGCAATAAAGAAATATTTCCTACATATCTATAAAATTCATAGGATAAACTTTTCATACATAGTATTTACTTTCCCCCACCAACTGATGGTCGCTACTCTGACGTGATTTTCTTTTATTCCCAAGTGAAACGTAGAGCTGCAGTCAAACCTGAGCTTGAAATTTCAGTGCTAGTCGTGTTTCCTTTTTCTGCGGGGTAGGATTGCTAGCCTTATGCCCAATCTGTCGCCCTTCCCCCTTGCTTTTTTGCTGGGCAGGTAGTAAGCCGGCGGGGTTGAGCGAGATATAGGAGAGCGTAGACCAAGGATTGAACCTCAGACCATGTAGGTGACTGGCGAGTATTCTACCACCGACGCATTTTGACGTGATGATTGAACTTGATTATTACTATTATATTATGACCAAATAAGCTACGCTTGCTGGTTACAACACTATGGTATAGGAGGGTTACAGGTGCAGCTGTACTGCTGGCAGAAAAGAGTGAAATGTAGAGACAGCTATTTTTCACCTCTAAGATCAAGTCCAAAATTGGCATATCTCCAGTTGCTTTACTGTAATACACATCAGGTGGCAAAACGTTCTGTACAAATTGAAGCTTTACGAATTTTAACACCGTGTTTGGACCCACCTAAAAAATCTGATATTCACTATGCAGTCTGCAGTTAGTTAATCGAAACTAATCCTTTCTTGAGGTATTCACAGAAGAATCAACTTCGGGAGTGTGAACAGTTGCATCGCCTACCCATTTTATCTCTCCTACTTTCGCTTTTTCCATTCTCGTTTGTTGTGTAGCGATTGCTAATGAATAATTAGGCTAGCAAAACACTATTCCTAGGCTTTTAAAAGCACACTTATACCATTGCGTTTGAACTTTAGATGTATAAATCCTATGCCAAAAGGGTCAACGAGTCTTAATAGCTAAAACTTTGGTTTCACAAATCATGACTGTACGCTGTATTCACAACCAGGCATATCCAAGTATATTTATTCGTTTAATCGCATCTCGTCAGTATGGTAAATCTGTAAAATTCACCCTACGGGTTAGAAAACTTTAAGATTGGTTCTTATGAACTCTGTCCTACAGAAATGCTACCAAACTTCAGAGGAGAGGATCCATTCTTCAACTGAACAGTTGTTTGTTTGCTCAGCAGTGATTATAACCCAGGGCATATGTTACATATGAAGTTCGGATAACTGAGTAACATCGTCGTCAGTCCTCATACTATAGATTTTAGTCATCAAGTGTATGAACATGTATACGTGGTTGATGTATTCCTGTTACTCAAGTAACTTATATTATTATTATTGTTTCCTTGGGTTCCTAGTGGAACATAGGGCTTCAACTGCACGTCTCCACTTGTTTCTGTCTTCTACTGTACTTTTCACTTGCATCCATGTTAGTCCATACTGTTTCAGCTCTTCTTCACACGATCTCCTCCATGTCACCCTTGCACCGACGAACCACTCGCCGCTTCCCTTTCGGGTTCCACTCGAGCTATGGCCTGACGCGCGATGTCACCCAGCAGTCTCCTCAGCGAGTGTCCAATCCATCTCCACTTTCTCCTGCATATTTGTTGAGCGATTGGTTCTTGTTTTGTTTGTTCCCATAGTTTTTTGTTGGTGATTCTTTCCAGCCATCTGATCTTGAGTATGGAACGAAGACAGCTGTTGATCAAGGTCTGCAACAGGCTGTTGGAAATATTCTTTGTGACCCGCCAAGACTCAAGTAACTAGTTTACACGAAAATCTCATATGTCCGATGATCACGTCTGTGTGAATTAGTCATGACAACAGGAGGTTTTGCTGACAGGTTATGAAGTCTAGAATAGCTGGTATTTACAACTGTCAGAAACCTTTATAAAGCTTCTCTATGCAGAAGATATAATACCCATGTTACTCTATTGTTGGATAATCCAATCGACTCATAGCTTTCATAACATAAATATGATTTCCTCACCTAATCTAGTTGAAGCTTTCCACAGTAGTCTACTCAAATGAGGAATTAAGCAGATGTCTTTAGAAAACTGAAGAGTTCAAGGTATCAAGACGAGTATAACTGGTCTAACTATCATAAACCTCTGAAGCACTGATATATATATACATTGCTGTTATGAGAATAGGATGTAAGGACTTACAGGGCTTTGTGGACGAGTATTACGTATTGGGCTTGTTGAACCGCAGGATGAATACAAGGGACCAGGCATGAACTAAATGAGAAGAGATGAACGAATATGGATTATAATTACTCGCCGAAATTATACATATTAAAATAACACCAGTTGAAAAGTCTGTCTGTTTTCGACATAGAACAACTTTGCACCGATGTGCAGCAGTTCAAGTCGCCACACTACACTCCACTACATATAGCACACAAAGCAAGAGAAGAAAGTAGAAGAAATGCAAAATAGAAACAGTAGACAGGGATATGAGACAAAAGAATAGTAATAAGGAAGAATATAGTTTTATTGGGCATTATAAGTCACAAGGAGTGGATGCATTTGCGCCAGACATTGACAACGAGGATTTTGAGCCATATCACTAATTGTCTCCAGCTATTGGTTTCTACCGTCCCGAGGACCCCAACCAGCAAGTCTACACCTTCCTACGTGGCTGGCTGGCCTAAACTAACTGTTGTGGATTTCATTGACTGGTGCCATGTTTCGGTTTGACCGCCGCTGGCTCTTTTCCAGTCTGACCCTATGTCAGCTGACATTGCCCGTCAAGGAAGGCGATTTTTGGGTAGGAACGCATACCTAATACATGTCCTAACCATCTCAGTCGATGTAGCTTCACAGCCTCGTCGATTGATTTCCCCTCCTTACCTAGCATCCAATCGAGGCCTAACCTCAATATTGATCATCCTATTATACCACTTCACACGGGAGATGGAACGTAGGCACCTATGATTAAAGACAGTCTTTTCATGTCTTCACCGGTTGAAGTTGATGGTGCGAAAGCCACCAAGCACACATTACCGTAAGATTAACACTGTTTCTATCTGAATAGTTAATGGTGCGATACTATTAAAACATGACTACTTATTTCCCAATAAGTCGTTGTTTCTATTCTTGAAAACGGACTATCCGTTTATCATGAAATATTAATATGATATCAAAAGAGTCAAATTTGAACACTCAGACATAGAGATAACACTTACTTTAAAGATTTCATCAATACGTTTCGAACCACGATCTTGACCAGTCACTTTCTTCGCCTTCGGTGTGTGAATGTCTTCAGAATTGGCAGGTTTTCGTCGCTTTTTTGTACCATTTCTAGAGGGTAAGGAGTCAGCCTGTCCACTATGCGTTGAAGTAGGTGGCTTTATGGATGGAGGTGGATCATGTACAGGATTATTTGTTTCAACAACTATAGGACTGGGTTGAACAGATAGTTGGAATGTAGAATATGGATTATTCTTATCATTTACAGATGTCTGGGATTTAACAGGACTGTTGCCAGCAACAGTGGAAGGTGTGTGCATAGAATTGGATCTTGAAAGGTATTGTAAACACTGAGGTGAACCCATAGGATTGGCTGGAGCACCAGTAGCTAAAGACTCTAAAAACTTATCACTTGATTTGACAGGTGAAGCAAGAGCTCCATCGTTTGTTGTATTATCAAACTCCCCAGTGGAACTTGAAGGCATTCTATTTCTTTTTGGAGTTGTAGGTGAAGTCACATAATCTGACTGCGTTTGTACAAATGTTTGAGGACTTTGTATATTGAGAGGTAAATTGGCGATATCCGAGCGACTATTGTTTTGATTGGTAGAATTTTGAAGTTTTTTGCCCACGTCTGCACTGCTCGGAATCCGTTCGTTTGGTTCTACTGGTGTTGAAGGGATAACAGTTGTTACTGGTTTAGGATCACTACTGCTTGTACTTAAATCATGTTCACCAGCCGAACTAGATGGACTAGACGATCCACGCATAGCTGAATGTTCTGGAGTACGTGAGGATTCATCTGCCGCCATAGGATACATATAAGCTGATGAACATGAATCCGTCTTCGTGGATACAGGGATATTATTGCTTTGATTTATATGATTAGTTCCTTGAATTCTAGCTTCTAGAAGTTCGTGTTTTCTAGGATCTACATGGAGTGGCATAGCAAAAGTATGCTGAAATAATAAATAAAATAGGATTACAGGACTTTTTTTCTAGAACAGAAGAATAAGATTTATGAAAGTAAGTTACGAAGGCACACTGACGGATCAAGGAGAATTATTATTCCGATAAGTCGTTCATAAAATAGAATAAAATCGTCAACAGAGTACAGAATGCCTATAAAAGGAAGTGAATAACACTGCAGTAGCTGACTCAAACATTTGACTTTCATCCACTAAGTGTAGTCCAAGCCCTAGTTTGTTTTTACAACACTTCAGACTATTCACTACCCACTGCAGCTTGTGGGTAAGTAGTAGACAAAAACATGGGGATTTGTTTAACTTACAATACCTGGAGTCAGTATACGTCTAGAGGATGTTCACGGGTGAAAACGTGAGACATTTTCAAGACATTTACGCTTGTTTAAAGGTTTGTTGATAAACCTGCGACAAGTTCTAGAACATACTAGAGTCTGAAATTTGGCATATTTCTTGACTTGAGGGTAGTTTTCGGTTCTGTCGATAGAAGCTCTGTGCGTCAGTGGCACAGCGGTTAGGACCCACACCGACCACGTACATGGTCCCGGGTTCGATTCCCTGCCGACGCACACCTGATATCAATGGTTGACCTGCAAAATTTGGGCTACCGATATCACATGCGGAAAATTCCATACTTGTACCAAAAGTACTGTATGGAATCAAGCTATAATCAAAATAAAAAAATAATGCTTACGAAGAGTTATGTGATGTGTTAACGTCGATGCTACACGACTTTATTACTGATGTAACGAAAGTGATGAATACGTTTATATCCAACCTCGCCGGAGTACTAATAAAGAATTTATTCAACCAACAGCAAGCACATACAGACACTTAATACCTTCAGAAAAATAACAGGGACGTTCAAAAGCTGTTGAACGTATGATGTCCAAAAATTTGACGAGCTAAGCTTTAGATCTAATTATGCGAAGTGAGGTGATAAAATGAAGTGAACTCTGAATCGACATCAGAACAATTTTACTTGCTAACTATAGTCTTTAGAGGTCGGAAACTAAGTAATATAGTCAGGAAATTCAAGCGCTATTAATCATTTGATTATTCATATTTTGCCTCTCATACATTAAAATTATATTCCCGCTTAATTTGTCTGTTCTGGGTGGCAAATAGAGAACTGAATCGATTCTAAGCCAAATTTTATCTTAATCCGTTTACTAATCGACAAAGTTGTGAACAGAGATCATAAATGACTTTATCGTCAGTTTTCACCGGCATAAGCAAACAGCAATGAAAACTTGAAAATTATAGGAACGATTGGTCAGTTAGTAACTAACATTCGGTAGCTTCATTACAAGTGACACTACCCGGTGTACACCTTATATTGTACCCGTAAGTTAATTCAAAAAAATATTTTGAGCAAAATAAAACAAGTATGATTGAAATTCCAAAGTCAATTTTCAGACAAACCATTATTTTAATAGCCTACCTATAAAGCACAAAATGTGAGTCAATAACAGTGAAACAACCTCCGAAACACGTGGATTAACATTTTATCATCTAAATAACCTCAGCTTACCAATTGAATAAGCCGAACAATAACATAAATGGGCAAATTATTATTTAAGATGGCCCATAAGGTTTTAATTAGTCTACTAAACACGTTTTACATCGGCCTATCGCATGAGTAGAACTACACCTTGATGACAAGAATTAAAATGACCTGCAACACTAAAACGCATGCAGATCAATGTTACACTTACTACACATTAAATTTTATGGATAAACGAAGAAGAGACTAGCATTAATTGACAATCCGTTGAGCTTTCTACATCGACGCTGGAATTACACACATCACAACATAACTTAGTATTACCATTCAACTATCTGCACACCAAACAAAACTAATGAAGAAACGGAACCCAAACTAAAAACAAGTAGAGTACCGTAACACAAAGCTTTTTTTTAAAGCGAAGAAATGCAGTCGACCGATCCCTATTAGCAAAAGTCTCCGAGCACAACCCAACTGCCATGTGAGATCTAACCAGACATTATACGTTTCTACATGATACAAGAAACATCGTACAAAAACGTATTCGTTCAATTTATTATAGTGCTAGGTAGCACATGGTTAAACGAACATGAATTAGAAAACAAACCCTAAGGGGATAAATTTAATAATGAGACAATTAACTATTAAGGGTGTTCCCCTATCCAGTTTTTTTTATTTCGCACTGATTCCGACTGTTGTCATATCAACCTATAAAACACAACTTGTTCAAAATAACTTCCAGGTAGACTGAACACCAACGATACAAAATGAACACATCTATCTGAAGAATTGAGGTATAGAGTATCACGTGAGTATCATGATGCTTTTGGATTGACTGTCAAATCGAAGTAGAATTTGTACAGAAAGCCGTCTGCTTAACTGTCTACTCTCTCAAACAGAACAAAACACGAAAGCTAGACAGTGATACTATGATGAGTAGAGATGATTTGAGTGAAAATTAATAGTCCTCAGAATTTTATAGATACTGAGTCATCTCGCGAACAAATAACCATTTAGCATTTATCAAACTCATATGAGAATAACTGCAAGTATTCATGGCAGACGCTTGTCTAATTCTTTCATATGCTGTCTCTAAGCATGACAAATGTCTGAATAAAGTCAAAGAGTTGCAACGTTGGCTCACCCACGAATTTTAACTTTACAAACATCAGTACAAAACTTTCAAGAATCCTTTTTACCACTGCCCTAAAACACCTTGACAAATGGAAGCATGAATACGTAAAACCATTGCATGTATCACCAGTAAGTTGCACAACACATAATCTATACAATTCAGGACTAGTGCGCTTCTGACTAACTAGCTCATGAAACAAAAACCAAGCAGCAAGTAATGTACAAAGTTATTGTGGGGGCAGATGCTATCTTCAGTAAAGAACATCAGGTGGAAACTAATCCAACTAAATCTTGCAAGTACAAAAACTACCCCACCAACCTTCCCAGGGAATGGGCATGTTTTAGTAAAAACGACGAATTTTCTCACTACAGTATGACATGTAAGCTATATACGCGGAAGTAGTCAAAAACAGCTCGAGGCATTTGCTGTTTATGCAATCCTTTTATTTTTTAAAGTGCATCACTGACAGCTGTAAGGCATGATACTTACAAACAACCCGAAACCTTTGCTAGTGCGGATTGTTCTCATCTCCTAGCTGAGTGATGTCCACACCCAACTTTGAATGCAAATACTAAGAAATTCGACTTGCTGGAGTTTAACATTATCAAAAGTCTCTGATACCGAAAACAGCTTAACAGACTCCCACTATATTTCAAGAGAAAATGGGGTTTTACTGTGACAAAATCACCACTTTACGCATCTATTACACAGCCTGATCACATATTTGGCAGCTAATGAATGTTAATGGACAGTGTCCCTTGGCTTAAGCTGTGAAGATTTCGATCCGCACAATTGCAATCAAATCTATCAAGTTAATGAAAAAAATCAAGTTAGGGCAAACTAGGCATTTTACAATACCGTGAACAAATGGTGGACGTCGGGGATGTTCTGATTACACTGTGTCAAACACAAAACATTTAAAAACGTGAGCTAACAACGAATGCCTGCCCAGAAAACCCTAGTCACTAGAATACTGAGTAATTAAGGACGAGTACCATGTGTAGTGCTTAGTATATTATTGTATTCCTCGCTTAGAAGCATATAGTTTAATTTCAAACCAATATCCTCAGCTATGGGCCAAATATCCAAGTTAATACACTCATTTAGACAAAATAAAGGAATTCCCCTCGAAAACATTAACAATGAGAATTGTTAAGAAAATACCAAAAAAGCTTTAATAAAGGGGCTCTAAGGCCTCAAAACCGAACAGAAAGAAAGCGACATGACAAAAATACCCTAACAATAGCTTACATATGCATACGGACAAGATGAGAACTAAATATATCCATGCACAACATCCAGAGCCATAAGACGATCCCGAGCGCAGAATTTTTGAAAGCAGACAAATAAACAAAAATCAGCTGGCAGGTATGAATCATAATTCGTCTAAATTTTTAACACATAAGAAAAGGTTCTCATGTAATTTGAAGTTTAAACTATTTCTGATATTATATTTCTATTTTCACTCCTCTTTCTACAGTGGCGCTTTTTCAAAAATTTGGTGCGCCGTATACACTGCAGTAATCTATTTTTTTAAATGAAAGGCTCCGCGTTTGAAGACGGTCGCCAGCAGCTCCAAATGCTTAGGTCTTTCAGTTTCTTGAACTCGAATGCTCCTTTAGCATTATGCTTTTTATTTTGCTCTGCTTCTCCGCTATAGTTCGTATTGGCAGCTACAGTACTTTCTTAATTACGGGGTTGATTTGTGTCATCAACAACTGTTAGAAACTTCCGTCAAAGTCCTTAGTTGAGACCACAAATGCTTATCATACTATTGCTGCTTAATTAATTACCAGTCACTCTACTCTTGAGGTTGATGAGTGTTCATCATGCGATAATTCAGGATTCCGAGATATGTAAGCAAGACACCAATCTAAAATAAGTCTTCAGTGTCACCACCTATACTTGTCTGAGCATATTCGTGGTTAAATTTATTTTTATTAGTCTCTTATTTTATACTGTCGGAGTCCTAATGCCACTTGAACAAAAGCATCTGGAAGCCACTAATTATTACTGCAGACTACTTTGTATTTCTTTAAGTTAGTATCGTTGTTAATCTCTTGGGTTCGGATTGGAACACAGGGCTTCGACAGAACATCCCTATCCCACACTTTTCCTTTCAGTCCTTTTTAGCTCGTACAGAATGTTTTCTAGAATTCTGATGTGGTGACACAGGATTTTTTAAGGATTTTGAGTCACTATGAGCCAACAGCTTGAAGATGGTATATGTGCGCAAATGGGCTCAAGTCCTCCTTAACTTCAGCTGTACTGTAGGTTGGTGCAACTTCTACTACAAGGTGAATGGAAGAGGAGAGGCAAGCA